AGAAATGAGAAAGTAATTATAACATGTTTGCCAATATTTCGGAAGTGAATTGAACTGTATGTTTTACTTAAAGAATATTCTCTATAGATATTGATCAGTAGAATCTTATAAACTCTATACTTATCTGAAACTAAGATTACTATTATTCATAGAAATCTTTTTTAATCCATACAATATTACTTAATTAATTATATGGCTATTATTTATTATGTGTGTTGGGTAACGGTTTAACCTATTAATATACATACAATATAACTTATGGGTTATAAAACAGGACATTTCCAGTATTACCACAAAGGTCAAGGTGAGGGATATATAAATCCATATTTGGTTATAATATGCAAATAACTAATACACGTTCTTTCTTAGGTTTAATCTGATATCCAATTTATGTGTATAACATTGATTTTGGGTACCTTGACAACAGGAAGTCTCTCTCTCTCTCTCTCTCTCTCTCTCATCTCTCTATCTTATGTTTAATTTTTTATTTTTTGTTTGAATTCTATGATTAAAATTTTTTTTGATGTTCAAACATTTACATCGCTATTCAAATTAAATTCAATGTTAAACATTGCAATGTAACTGTATATGTGTTTTATTAATATAACTCTTATATTAAAAATCTCAGTGCACATTTTTATTTATTCAAACATATATAGTTAGCATTTTATTAAATTCCGTTTGACATGAAATGAAAAAAGTTTTTTCTTTTTAGCTTTTTCTTACATTTAGTACTAATATAAAGTGTATTATAGTAAACTATAATATAGTTGACTGATTGTCGACTATATTACCGGCTTATTATTGATGGTGTATTAGTTCACACTATTAACCTTTGTAATTTTAGTTACATTTGTCTTAAATTATAATTCTTGACATTTGACGTGAACTTCGTTAAAGTTAAAGTGTTTTTACTTATAAACGACACTAAATTAGCCAAATATTTGGGATTATTTCAACAAAATTTGATGAAAATTTTAGATTTAATGAATTTTATGACTTATTATGAAAACTGTTGTTTATTGTTTTGATTTTAATTTTCTAAAAACACACAAATTATATGTTTAGGTATATATTTTATTCATCAAGTTTATTTACAAGTTTTCAATTTAATATCAAATTGCTAGTTTATATTATGTAATACATAATGTCTATTATGCATTAATTTAAATTTATAAAATAAATGTGTATTACATAACATGTATAAATAAGTTACGTATTTAACATTTAATCAATTATTCATGGTATTTAATCATTATGGCTACTAATATATTAGTTTTTCAATTATATTTGTGATTTGAATTAAATATTAAATAATTCTATGAATAATTAATTATCGCTTAATATATTCCGTAAGATTACGGCATTTTGAATAACAATTTTAATACTAAATAAATGAACTGCTAATAAATAAAATTATACCTAAATATTATTTGATTTTAATTTATAAAGGTTGTAGAGATTTGTAAAGAATATCACAGTTTATTAAATAAATACTTACCTCTCCAAATAAAATTAATTCAATTATCTATTATTATAGATTATAAGAAAATGTATTAACTATAATCTATTTGATAATATTTAATTCACTGTTCACAGTATATTAATATTAAATGTCAGTTCAAATATCAATAATCCATAATTATATTTACTATTATAATTTAATTATTATATTCTTATCAAAATACTATTGATTATGTTAATAAAATCTGCGCATAGTTGTTTTTGTATTCAGAAATGTAAAGGGTTTATAATTTTGAATTATTTAATTTCTATTTGCTTTATTTGTTAGCAAAGTCAATATTAATACAACAAATGAGTTGATAGACAGTTTACAAATAAATAAAGGCTTGTGTCACATATATTTTAACATTATTGTTTGATCTGTTATATAAAAATTTAGTTTTAGCTGAAATTTGAGTTTTTAAAACTTTAATGGGATTTATTTGTTAAGGACTTCTATTTTTGTCGTTAAATAAATTACTAAATAAATAACACAAACGTAATATTCACTTCCCTGTTGCCAACCGATAAATTGTGAATATAATGCTATTTTGTATTTTTATATAAATTATATTAGTTGATAGACATAATTTTGTCTTATTACAGTTAGTATAAATTGAATATTATTATAGCATTTTGATTAAGTGTAGGTTTTATAAACGGAAATTCAAAAGTCCCACTATAAAGTTTGTCTTTATAAATTTTTATATTAATAATAATTTAGATAATTATAAATATATCAGGTATAATTCTTAATATTGTACTAAATCAGTAATTTTCACTCATCAGCCTACTTGTCAAAGTTTCAAATTTTATACGTTATAATAAAATAGTATCGTACTAATAAAATTAAAAATATAAAATAATAAAATATCTTATTTAACTTATTGAAGCTACGTATTAAATGTAATTTATTAAGTAATTTAAACTTTATATAATAATAATTTCGGGAGAAAAAACTTATACAAAATATTAAGTCATTTTGAACTTTATAGATAATAACTTTAAAGAATTTTGTCATAATTATCAAATGATCTTTATCATTGACATTTCATTGTCCACTATAGGTGGTATTTTTATTTTTATAAAAAATCATTTATTCAAACATGTAATCCAATTAAAGGCATATCATATAAACCACAAAACGGGTATAATTTAAAATTTAGTAATAATAACATTGATAAAAAACATAACATGTGTTTTTAGCTATCAACTAATATTTATATTTCGCATCAATTTGTGTTCAGAAAAACAAAAATAATGGCATATATTTTATTGGGAGCAATAAAAAGGTTCAAAAATCCATATTTTATTATATATTTATTTATAGCAACAAATAAATCTGCACTCTATCTGAACATGTAATTCAATCATTAGTGTATTTATCGTACAGAATATTCCGTACATACATATCAGGTATTTATAAACACAAATATAATGGAAATACGTGTTCATTATTCTCAGTACCAGTTGTTGAATGTTTGACATATCATTACATTAAAGTCCTGAACATACAGTGCATATGAAGTGTGTGTTGATGAGATTTATTTGATATGTGCTGTTTTTATTTATATTTAATCGTTTCCATGAATTTATGACTATATTAAATATCACATAATTATTATGAAAATTTAATTGAATATAAATGAAAATGTATTATATCAAAAATCCAATTTAATTGTCACCCGATCGAAAAATATAGTGCAAAGTGAGTGAATGAATAAAAACTAAAAATATATTTCAAATATACTGTTATATATAGCAAAATAATCTGCTTTTGAGGACAATTTAATTATAATGTCGATGGCTGTCATTCATTACGTCGAGAGCTCCGGTAGTTAACTGTTATGTAATACGAAAAGCCCCGTAAGCCTTGACACTGAACTTGAAATCTCCTGGATTTCCGTATATATTATTGTGTGACATAAGTAGTGTAGTGTACCTCAAATGCCGTTCAAAATCAATATTTATTTTAAATGCAAAGTTTCTATTCCTTTTATCAACGGTTAATATTTGAAGAGACTTGAAGTCTCTATAAATAGTTCACAATATATTATGTAAGAGTAGAGGTAGAGAGAGAGAGAGAGAGAGAGAGAGGATTAGCTCATGCATTAATACACTGAATAAATATATGAATTCCAAGAAAATTAATTAATTATTGATCTCCATTCTTGTGTGTATTACTTTGTTGTCTAATCATTTTTGCTGTCATTTCAATACAGTTCCCGTATATTAAGAGCCCATTTGAGTGGAAATTAATGCTAGAAATGTGAGCCAAAAGCGAGTGTCTCATGATTTTATCTATAATTTGCGGAAATGTATATTTAAATGTATGCCTATATGATATGGCTATATGATATTTGGATCGATATATTATAACACAAATTACTGATATTGTTCAGTGATGCAGAATGTAGAGAAATAAAATATTATAATAATTATGGTCAATTGTGTTCACTTATAAATAAATAGAAATTAATTATAGCAAATGTAATTAATATGAATTTATATGATGTCTGCTTAAATGGGATTCATTATCTACTAATATTGTATGCATTTTAACATAAATATTCAGAATAACAAAGTTATATAATACAGTAATCATGAGATAATGTTATTATTACATATTATGTTTAATTAATTATTACAGAATTGATACATGAGTTTAGTATTACTGTACTAACCCAGATACAAAAGTTGTGTTTGATTTTCTACTTTCAAAAATACAATAATTATTATTTATTGACAATATATTTATGAATATAATTTGTCATTAACTTTGTAAGTGTGTGGGAAAAAGCACAATTTTTGATTAATATTTGACTTTTATATTGATTTGTGATGTTGAAAATAAACTGTTATTTGAGTTGACAAACAAATATAATTAAATATAAATACGATTAATTGCATGATTGCATGATAAGTTATAATTATTGTCTAAAATGGATTTCTATGTTTATAGTTTCGACGACTATATGAGTCCAACAGATATTATATAATAAAGGTAATATTGATTTTAATCTCTATTTTTGTAAAAACACTATAAGAATATAAACTTATATTTTGAATATGAGTTTTTCGCTGTATATTCCGTACTCTTATAGTCTTATTGTCGAAACTGTTTTATAATAAAAAATAGATTACTTTTTATTGTCTTTTTGTGACATTTTTATTACATATCCAGTGAATCCCCTCAATAGTGGCACTGAATATGAATAGTGAAGCTCTTTCTGGGCGTAAATTTTTCATATTATGTTTGAAATGTAATAATAAATTTAAAGTATAACTACTCTATTGTCATATGTGTACATACTTATATCATTTTATGATTGTTTACGTGATCTGTATAATGTACTGAACATGTGTGCCATATAAATTGTCGTACACTATAAGCAGGTTTTTGTTCAACATAAAAATATATTTTTTGATGTATTTGTGTTTTATGTGAATAAAAATACAGTATTATATAAAATATTATATATATTTCTTTCTGAGAATTTCTGAGTGTTTTTGTATGTGTTTTGATGTGTTTTCTGTGTTTCCGTTTGGTTTTGATGAGCAATTCCTACGAGACTTCCTCTACTTCTTTGTGGTCTGGCTCTCAGTCTGGTATCGACCGCTTTGGTCCGTGTCTTTGGTGGTATTGGTGGTGATGTTCATCACTGACTTCTTCTTGTTGGTCATCCTATAAGACATTTATTCAGTAGATAATGGATTAGAGAGTAGTGAAGATTGAGAAAAGTTTTTTTTATAAGTTATATAATTTTTTCTACTTGAGTGACAAATCTAATGAAAAGCAAATAAGAAATCACTTAAGAATTTAGGACTAAATTGAAGCAAAAATGTGTGACAAAAGGAAATACATTTCATTGTCAGTCCGTTTTATATATAAAGTCAGCTAAATTGGTTGATACAAAAAGATTTAATTTTGAGTTGTTTAAAAATAAATAAAAAACCTTTTAGTTTCACGGTTTGTATCAACAAGTGTTTGTATAATATCTTATAGACTACTGGGATTACCGGTAGTGTTAGCCTATATTTTATCGATTTTAAAATTATTTATACCCGGTAACAAACATGTAATAAAGTTGGCGCTAAAACTGAGTCTGTTTACACCTCCTGTAGTGATTAATCGAGCTTTTCACTTTAAACAAGCTCCTTTTAGATAACAAATATAAGTTTTATTTGAAAAGATACTCGCATAAATATACTGTATATTCAATGCTAGCTATGCTTTACATTAGATAAAAGCAAAGTAGATGTGATTTTTCTAGAGTCAAAAATTTGTTTGACTTCACATGAAATCTTATAAAACATTTCGTTTTCTTATTTTATCTCTCAGTCCTTATGTTTATTATTATTGTAAAGAGAAAAGGTTTCTTTCATAAAGCGAAAAATTTTAAACATTTCATTTGCCGCTAAAAATAAGATATCAAATCTTTTGTGAATAAATTTTTTAATAGAAATTAATTATTAATACCATATTCTTATTAATAATTATGTAATGCTTTATGGATACTATAGCTCTCTCTTTCTCTCTCTCTCTCTCTCTCTCTCTCTCTTTCTTTCTCTCTCTTTCTCTAACCTTTAAGTTATTAACAAAAGAAATGTTTTTAAAAGAATAAATAATGAATACATAGAGAGAAAGTTATCCCGAATTTAGGCATAAAATTGTCTCATAAGACAAGACATACCCATTGATGGTATCGTTGACCACATGAGAGCCGGTCTTAACCGCGAAGAACATCGTGTAATAAATATTACCCAAAGGCATGACTTCAACGTGTGTGTGAGGTGTCTGAGCCTTCAATACCGACCACCAATTCAGCGAAAAAAAATGTTTGTCTGTCTCTCGACTTTTTTGTGTCGAAAACTACAAAAATATAGTTTAGCCCCAAAAATATGTATACTTTATATGAGATATTAGTGGACTATTTTGACGTTCCCTTCCCTTCGTTTCCTCACTCCCTATCCTTTGATGAAACAATTTTTGAGACCCTATTGATCGGTTGGAAACGGCATTCCCTATGAGGAGATGTATACACCGGGAAGAATGAGATGCGACTGCGCCCTCACAGCCACCGCAACAGCAGTCTCTCTCTCTCTCTCTCTCCCTCTCTCTCACCCGGAATATATACACTCCAACACCAGTTATATTATAAATAATATACAAATATTTTTATATGTACTTGTAAATATGAAATCAATAGCTGACTTTTAGACCTTATTATTAGGAATATGTCGAAAATCTGCCATGTACATAATACAATATATAAAATTAGGCTTAATTGAGCGTAACGTTTGGTACGATATATTATATATACAGTAATAGTTGTTTGAGTTTTTAGTTTTCGTTTTTGTACTAAAAACCTCTGTATTCTGTTCACTGGCAATACACCTACCCTTGAAATATACGGAAAACATATAATTGTGAACTAAATATAAGAGTTTTATTTGAGCAGAATATAAGTGTTTTACATAATTGAGTGAAATAGATGTAGAAATCTTGTGCACTGAATAGCAATTAGAGTTAATTGAATTGGAAATGTGTCCGCGACTGTCAACATATAACTATTGCTTTAATTTTTATGTGTTTTTTGTTTATCCGTTTATATTATCGATAATTATGTGCAAAATACTACATTAAAAATCCATAAAATAATTATCATAATCTACATTATCTAACAGTACACTTCATTCACAACTTAAATTATATTAATATTTTTAGTTTAGTGTGTTTAATGAACATTGAATTATTCAGAAAATGGGAATTTTGTTGAATCAAAAAAATAGTCACTTGTTAATAATCTATATTAATCTCTATGCTAGGAAAATATGTTTTATTTTTCAATCAATACTTGACATATTATTTTATGTTTTATTTATATGAATTATCAAATAATTATGTGTTTATACTTGAAAATTGAGATTAACTGTAATTTTAATGTACTTTGTTTGTATTTCGCATTTTTCACACAAGTGTCAGAAACTCCTTAATAAAGTATAGTATAGTTGTAATCATAAGTAAGTGATATATTAATCACAAGAATATTCTCTTGTTTAGCGCTTTTTTAGTCACAAAAGTGTAATAAAAATAAATTTTCTCTTTATTTCCCTAAATATAAAAACTTAATTATCTTTTATAACACCATAACTCTTATATACCGCTTAAGACTCGTGTAATAATACTTGAATTATATCACAGAAATTGGTTGCAGTTTTTATTTGTGTTTCCTTTTTGTATAACGAGATATTGAACGTCGAGAGAGAGAGAGAGAGAGAGAGAGAGAGAGAGAGATCTTATTATCAACAAGTGGTTCAACAGCTAAATAAAGTAGAGGTTATGTGTCATAAATTACATGACGATATGATTTATTTATTTACAATAATTAGTTTTATTGATTTTATAAATCATTGTCTCATTACTTGTCCAAGATATCTTGTACTTATCACAAACTTGTAAAATATACAACTTATTTGAATTGTTAAAAACTTCCCCAATAATTGTAACTGACATCCAGTTCATAGTCATATAAACAGTAAGAAAATTAGTATTGAGTTATAGTATGTAATATTTATGCTGACAGTGCATAAAAAGCGGGTGAATATCCCGTAACATAAAATGTTTACACTATCGGGTCTTCCCTTTTCTTTACGATATATTCAGTGGTATTATATGCCATCCCTTTTATGTCCTCCATGACCCGGCACATCCTCGAAATACAATGACCTTTGCATTGCATACCATATTTCCAGTGTTTAAAAGAAAATACATTTTTCAGTTAGAGTTTAAAAAACCTATTCATAAAATGAATGATATTTTTTCTAACTTAAGGTTTGCCTAACTTTTCTCACCCTTTATGTTCGCAATGTTATCGTCAATTATTTGCCATAATGTGTGGCAACCGTTGGATTGACACTAAAAACTGAGTGTATTTCTTATTTATTGAATTCATTGTCAGTTTTAAAAAATAGATTTCTGATTTTATCTGAACATATGTTTAGCCATTAGGGTATAACTAGTTATTTTTAGGCCCATTATTATGTTAATACAATAATTTATTAGTTTAGATAAATGTGTTAATAATATATTTGGTCTCTAATTCCGTTATTTAAGTGATAGTTTTGAGATTAAAGTTCATGAAAACCGAGAGAGAGAGAGAGAGAGAGAGAGAGAGATTCAAAGAAAGGGTTGTTTAGAAGAAGTCTAAAGAAATAAATTATTGTATTATTATTCTCACAACAGTTTTCAAAGTTATATAACGCCTAAAATGTACACAATTTGTGTGATTATAGATTTAAAAAAGTATTATTTGATAGGTTTTATGTATTTTATATGGAATTTGTCTAAAAGCATATGGCATTAACTTTTATAATCACCGTTCAATTGTCTATTCATATAAATTATCAATTTACATTATATATTTCCAATGAATTTTAAACGTGTTAATAAGATTAATACAAATAATTACATTTAAATAACTTTAGCATTTATTGCGTTTCTTAATTTCTTTTCTCATTTATTTTTAAAAAATTCATTAAGATTTTTCAATGGCTTAAGATTTTATCATTGATATCGTTGATAACATATCAATTTCTACTTCTCAATGTGTGTATTGTTAGCGCATACCTACTACAGTGTATTCTAGCTCACCAAACAATTTATATTGTCAATTTTATAACCACATTAAATACAAATCGCGTTCACAAAGTTAATTGTTACAAATCAGTTTAAACATTACACTTGAAAACTAGTACAAAATCTAAACACACAAACAGTTGGTCACTAATAGTCGATATGTTTTACTGTGAATAGTAGTCGATTGTAACGATGAATAAGACTTTTATGAACCGTATGGTGGAGGAGGAGGGCAGTAGTGATGGCAATAGTGGCGATGGCTTCAAATTTGTCATAATAGTACTCATTGTGCTTATAGTGATCGGCGCTGTCGTGGCGATCATATTATGTCTCAATTATTGTCATAAAAAGCGAGAAAAGCGACGAAAAGACAAAGTACTTAAGGATAACAATAATAACAATAATAAGGTGTCGGCCGCCGGTGGACAGGCGTCAGAGCGATCGTCCATTAAAAGCCACACATCGGAGGTTAGGTCACAGTTAGGTCAGAGTCAGGCGGAGTCCCAGACCGGTGTCCAACCCATGCTGTCGACCGGCTTTGAGGTGGAGGACACCAGAGATATGTCGGCCATCGCTGACGAGAAGACCCCTAAAAGTCCTAAAAGTAGTGCCACTCCTGCGGTCAGTCTGACGGCCCCATCGGCGCCCATATCCATGGCATCGACCACACGTCCAACAGAACTGAGAGTCAAAAATGATATTTGATATAAATGTTGTCAAAATATATCTCATTTTCGTTTCAATTTCTTAATTTAATTAAAATTATATTTTTAGTGTGTATTTAGTTTGTTATTAAAAAAATAAAATACTTTGATTCATGTTAACCATTCAATTTGTATAGTTCACTGAATGATATGTTTACAAAGTGTAAAGTTTATAAAAAATAAAACTAATTTACTTGTAATCCTATTTAAAAATGTTTGGAAAGTAATTAATATTATAACAGAGTTCACTTGGGTATAATTTTAGTAATAATACTTTATTGATTTAATTAATATTTACAAGTAAAATTGCAAAAATAATAGGATTAGTGTATTAGTTTACGCAAACAAGGTAAGGATTTGCATTTAGTTAATGTAGAAAATAGGCAGTTCCTATTGATTTGAAAATTTATTTAGTTACTGTATTTACAAATTGATGTTTTCATGAAATTTTGTTAATAAAATATCTTGACTTTAATTAATATATTTTATTATTTATATACAATGAATTTATTCAGTGTAATTAATGTTTTGCTCAAAACAAAATAATATTTTATTGACATAAATGATAATAACCTTTAATTGGCGGTCATTTACAAATTAATATTAAGAATTTAAAAATTAATTATTTTTACCCTGGAGTTCCTTTAAGTTTATTTTTAATTTTATAAAAATAATATAATTGCTAAGCTTTATCAAAAATTATAATGTTGCAGTATTTTTAATCAGATGAAATTTTTACATAATATAAAATTCTTACAAAACAAAAAATAAATAAGACACTTACTTAATACTTAATGTAAAAACATAATATTTTTATTATGTAATAAGAAAATAAAATAGTTTTTATATTTTGTAATAAAATAGAGACTTTAAGTCCAAATAAAGTCCAAATTGTTACAATTATTTCAACAAATAGTTATATTGTAGATAATTAAATTTCTTTAGGAACAAAATAAAAATAAATAAAACAAAATTGAATATTCTTGGCACAAATCGATATTAAATAAATGCATTCAAACGTTAATATAATATATTTAATCAAAAAATGCTTTACCGGTATACAAATCAATTCATCTATTTTATGAAAAGACATTTTGTTATATTTCTAACAAATGGGTTAAATCTAATACCGGTACATTAAATGTCATTTATAATATACGGAATTATGTTACAAAATAACTTGAAATGTACTTATTATTAATGGACTATTAGTATAGATTACCTGTATAATGTACAGTATAATAGCAAAATAATGTATTATGGTACCTGTAGAAACTATTTATACTATTCTAGAACATCTTGTATTGGATTAATAACTATGGATTAATTACATAAATTATTTATTAAACACAAAATTATTAGTATTATTTAATGTATCTAATTTTATTAAAAACTATTTCTTATGTTTACTATCATTTATTTAATATAAATTTATGAAATATAAATTTATTTCTAAAATATAGATGTATTATTAATAGAAATATAGTACTGTATATGAATGAAATAATATAACGGTTCAAATAATAAATTTAAA